TGGGGCTACCATTGTTGACCTCTTTGTAAAGATGCCAATTGCCTGAGTATTCCTTTGACCCAATGGCTTCAGTGCTATGCAAGTTACTTACCTAAAACATCCAGATTAGGAAAGTTGCAGTCCTTATCTGCATGTGTCAAAGACATCACCTGGAAAATTGTAGGTTATTATACACAGAAAGAGCAATCAGAATCTGGAGCTGCTATGCATGGCAACCAATCAGCTTCTTTGATTTTGCACACAGAAGGTTCTTTACCTTCATGCATAGAATACATGAAGGTAAAAAAATCTTGAGCCTTACAATCACTTTAAGCACCAATCCACATTACAATGCAACTGCAACACATTGTATTTTGGCGCATTTCCATGAGCGCTAATGCAGGTTTCCATGCGTTTTTATATGCATTTTTATGCACTTTTTTTGGATTTTTTTTTCCAAATGTGCATAGTAACCAGATAGAAACTGATTGTTTACTATGCACAGCTGCTTCCGACACAAGCTGATTGGTTACTATGCACAGCTGCTTCCGACATAAGCTGATTGGTTATTATGCACAGCTGCTTCCAACAGAAGCTGATTGGTTACTATGCACAGCTGCTTCAGATAGAAGCTGATTGGTTACTATGCACAGCTGCTTCTGACACAAGCTGATTGGTTACTATGCACAGCTGCTTCCGACATAAGCTGATTGGTTATTATGCACAGCTGCTTCCAACAGAAGCTGATTGGTTACTATGCACAGCTGCTTCAGATAGAAGCTGATTGGTTACTATGCACAGCTGCTTCCGACGGAAGCTGATTGGTTACTATGCACAGCTGCTTCCGACAGAAGCCGATTGGTTACAATGCACAGCTGCTTCCGATAGAAGCCGATTGGTTACTATGCACAGCTGCTGAATTTTCTGACTTCATCAGTTGTCATATTAATATTAAGCATGACCGCCACAGCCTGTGCTAATCCTCATAATAGAAGTCTCTCCATAAGATGATATATATAGTAAAAAGGTCATTGCAGGTAGTCAGCTGTGGAGTATTATTGTATGTCTTAATTCCTCAAGCAAAACAAGTGTTTACATTGATATCATAAACCCCACCATATAATTTCTTTAGAATAGCTTGTTAAACTTTACAGATGATTCTCCGGCATTGTGCACCAACAGTGTTATTCTCTTGATCATAATGTGCATATTGAGCGCAGCAGGTGTCCACAAAAAGGGTCAAAATGTAAACATAAATTTAATATTTTGTTGGTGTTCATACTTAGAAAAGACCTCTTTTAGATGCTTTGTAGAAATATATTTGGTGCATCCATATATCTGGACCCAGGTTCATGCATCACCATCCAAAAATGAAGCATGTCCTATTTCAAGACATTATTTTGCATAGATCATGTCAAACTAGACCACCTTGTCTGTTCACATCAGGCAGACAAGGATTATCATTTTGGGATCTTAGCAATATGGAAGCACCGGAAACAGCGCTGTCCCTCAAGACATGGGTTTCAACAGTCACACCGTTAAAGCTAGTGAGTGAAGAGCAGGATGGAACAGGAGGTCTGGTTCATTTGTAATAGGCCATGGATCATTTAGATCAGGCATCAGAACAGGCATCACTAAATGGTGGACCGAAGTCCGGATCCGGACCCAGAATCATTCCTTTCCAGACCGCAGCCTCACCAAATAGTTGCCTGAATGTCCTCCCCCCACCACCGACTCGCCCGCCGACCGCTATTATCCTCAAGGAAAGGGCACAGCATTTGAGGCGCAGCAAGTCTGTCCCATTCATAACATCGCAGCACTCCCCCCTCCCCACACTGCCCTACCTTATTCACACAAGCCGGGAAGCACAGCAGGTCTGGACATAGGGTGGGCTTTTCATGTTGGGAAGCGAGTGATTGGTTGCTAGGCAGTGGGGCTGTCCAAGAAATCATTTACCCACCTTTAACATGAAAAGTCCCGCCCTATGTCCAGACCTGCCGTGCTTGCTGTCTTGTATGAATAAGGTAGGACGGGGGGGGGGGGGGGAGTGCTGCGATATTATGAAAGGGATAAGAATCTGTAATATGCAGGGAGGACTGTCATGGGGGGTCTGTGATTGGGTGATTGGGGTGGGTCTGCGCTGAGGGGTCTGTCATGGATGGGATCTGTGATGAGCAGGGTCCATGATGGGACGGTCTGTGATGAGCAGGGTCCGCGATGAAGCAGTCGGTGATAAGGGGGGGGGGGGGGGTGTCTGTGATGGTGCAGTTGGTGATGGGGGGAGGAACTGTGATGTGCACGGGAGGCCGTGATGTGATGGATCTGAATCATAGCACAAACATGACATCCGGACATCTGGAAGATAATTGTACTTACCGGACTCCTGTTAATTTTAATTCAGTATCCCTGTCCTAGAAGTCTGAGTATGTCTGTGCACCATGTTCTCCTGAGCCAGATTGCTGCAATGTGAATAACCATTTTCTTCTCTTGTTCCATTTTGAGGAACAGTTGCAGCAGAATTCATACTGGAGGAAAAACATTAACTGGAATGGGGTCCAAGGAATTATCAGAGCATCTGATGATCCTTGGTCCTGGCTACAAGTAGGGGTAACTGTTTGTACCTGAAGGCAAGGATGTCCACAAGGGAGTTCCCCATTTCTGACATAGGAGATTGAAGATGTTGGGATGAAGAAGCCATTCCCCTTGGCCCAGGCGGCGTTATCTGAGGTAATCTTCCTTCCAATGGTCGACTCCTGGATTATGAACAGCAGAGAGGGCTGGACAGCGTTTCTCCTCCCATAAGATGATCAGACTTTCTTCTATTAAAGCTACCCAACTCCTGGTACCTCCTTGGTGGTTGATAGTTGGCGCTGCCCAATTGTACCCAGATTGGATCAAGTGGTTAAGAGCTAATCTTTATTGCTCTGAATCAGCATGCTCAGAGAGAATGAGCATGAGTTTGTAGAGAAAAAAAATCTGTTTTCTGGAAGAAAGACCTTTGCCTGGGCTGTGCCTAAGTATTCTAGGTGAGGGGAGGGTTGGAGAGCAAACTTACCAAACCGAAGCCCTGAAGCATCTGAACAGTTCTTTGGACTATCTGCAAGATAGTTGAAGGGGAGAGGAGTTCTTCAGAAGGTTGTCACCTGTGGCTAACCACACGAACTGCAATTGCCAAGGTGAGTGCCCAAGCAGGATCCAGTACTCAAAGAAACATTACAAGTAGCACCCGACACCGTGGGGTCTGGGTACAGCTCCCAAGCTTTTACTGAGCCAAATGCACAGCTTCTATTGTTGTGTTAGCAGACAATAATTAGTTGACTGAATAATCCAAATCAAAATAATAAACTAGTGAAGCAAAAATTGGGGGTTAAGAGGTCCATTCCCATAGTACACAAGCAGAGGTCTTACACAGTCAGATAGAGTCATAAGGGTATGCCCAAGGGGCGGGTCCAGCAAAGCTTTGCCAGTGTCCAATCACCTGAAAGTACCAGCCTATTACTCAGGGTCTATGAATATCCAGCCTATGTTATGTACTGTATGAATAAGATATATAGCTTATGTATTACTGAGATGTGTGCAATGACTGTAGTTGGTCTTTAACAACTGGCAGCTACATGGAAGTGGTGAACCACAGAGAACAAACACCATTTGTGACGGAGGTATAAGTGGGAAAGAACACACGCGGAGAGTGGGGAGACACACAAGGCTTTTATTGAGTGATAGTGAGGGCACATGATGAGTTTAGCAGGGTTCAGGCAGAAAAAAAAAAAAAGTCCATAACACAGGGTGGGACACACAAGGATCACCAAGCTCTGGTAGGCAACAAGGGGGGTTAATTCGCAGCACAGTCTGGGCCCACAACAGGTAGGCAAGAGTTAAGTCCAGGTCAAATCCTCAGCACAGGGGTTGGACAAAGCAAGGAGGCATATCTCTGGCGGGCGGTGGAGAGAGCAAGGGGCTAGTAGCAGTGGCAGGCCAGCCAGGCTCCTCAGAGCTCCACAGGTCCTGGGATGGAGAGGGGGCAGTAGGGCCTGGCCGCAGCACAGGACCTCTCACAACACAATAGCAGGGGGTTAAGAGGAGCGAGCAGGGGGGAGACTGCCCATGCCCAGATTCTGCTTCGGTATTTATCTCCAGAGCAGGACACTGCCAGGTTGCCAGACAATAAAAGTCCTGGCGTCGGGAACAATGGGGCTGCACTGTGCCCACCGAGACAAAGGAAGGGGGCGCATGGCGACATACAGGTGACCCGCATGTGGGGATGCAGACTCCTCGGCGCTCGTGTTCACTGCGTACTGCGTGTTCATGAAGTACCTCCCACGTGGCAGTAATTTTCAGATATCTGAACAACTTTTCCAGGATCTTTTTTTGTATTTAAAATGAAATACACAGGCATATATTCTTGCAGTGTATCTAGTTACTTTTTTCCATAACAAAGGTGGAGTTTTAGGCTTGGTTCACACTGATGCAATGCGGGAAATGCTCAGGAATCAGTATCCCGCAGCGCGGTGCACAGCGATCCCGCTATGTCTATGCGATCTGCTGTTGTCGATTAAAAGCCAACGACACCCCAAAAGCAGAATGCAGTGCGTTTGCCTGGAACAGGTGCATGGGTATGAACACCCATGCAATCAGATTCAAGTGGCTGTCATTAGATATGCGAATTGTCATCACGTTTGTGGGTATGTTTTTATATAAAATACAATAAATCTTTTTTTTGGGATAATATGCTAGGCCAGTGCGCTCTTGTTTTGTTTTTTTGCAACTGACTACTAGAACCTGGATGAAGCATGAAACTCCAATTCTTCAGTTTCATGCTTAGGTATTCCAAAAGAAACAAGCTTTTAATAAATGAATATGGATGTAGCTTGGAAAACCATAAGTAGTGTCAAAAAAGGGTGTGCGATGCAACAAGACTAACATCTCCAAATGCCTTACCACTTTTTTATAAACAGCAACCAATAGTGTTAAATAAAAATGCAGGTGATGTAACCAAGAAGCTGGATATACTTTGTACTTACTGAGATAGTACCATTGTCCAGGCCTATGGACAGCCTCCGAGTTTCTGGATTAAAAGACATACATGAACATGGAGCTGAAAAATATAAACACAGAGTGCCATTAGCATCATAGAGGTTGTAATAAATGCTACTGGAATAGGTTTGTTATAATGAAAGTGTACCGCCTACACTGCATGTCCACAGCAAGTGCTGACAGATTAAATTAGTAATAAACCCACTGTTTTTTTAAGCACTTTCAGCAGCTGAAATAATCACTGAGCATGCAGTTTCTTCAGCTGTTAATTCCTGCCTATGTTCCAGTTCAGGCTGGTGCCATGACCGCTGCCCCGGGTTTCCTGTTTCAGGGTGGCTCCTTTCTTTTGCAGCATCTTATGGAGTCCTCTCTCATGCAGGGACTAGAGTTGTGTCTCTCTACACTGTGTGCATCAATAGAAACACACAGTCCTTTAGCCTCTACAGCAGTGGTCTCCAAATTGTGACCCGGGGGCCAAAGTCGACCCTTTGCTTGCTTTTATTTGGCCCTTGGGATACTATTTAATTCACTAGCACTAATGAAAGGCATAATTCCTCCTAATTACACCAATGATGGGCAAATTCCTTCTAATGAGATAAATGATGTGGCATAGTTCCCCCCAATGACAGCAACAATGGGGCCCAATGACACCAATGAAGGGGTACAATACCTCCCAATGACACCAATGATGAGGCACAATTCTTCCCACTGGCACAAAATGATAGATTGTTCACTCCCACTGATGCTGAGACATTTTGTAGTCCCATTGGCCATAGTCTGGGCCCCCTAAGGACTGAAGGACAGTAAACTTGCCCTTTATTTAGTACGTTTGGAGACCCCCTGCTCTACAGGCACTCAACCACAACTTCCTTCCCCCAAGCCAATTTTTCCTATGAAGACCAGAAGTTCAAAGAAGCAGCACTGAGAACAGCTGCCAGCAGCACCGAAAGCTGTAAACTACATCTACAAGCTGAGGGTTTAAAATAAATTTAATTTCTTACATACAGATAACAGAATCCCTGCACTGTGCATCTGTAAACCCTTATGAAACAACCAAATCTAGAGTGCAAGGATAATATCATTTCAGGGTAATCACCACAGAGTTGACATGCACACTGATGCACAGGCTTTTGAAGCACATACACTGTGGACAGGTCACACCTATAAGCTAGGAGTCTAAGAGGTTATAGCGGTCATAAACCCAAAAGCATACATTTATTATACTACAGCTTACCACATTTTAAACGTGATGGCTGTATTAATTTTCTTTTTTATGCTTTCTTTTATGTTCACCTGGTGTTCAGGCCAGTAAGTCCTATTTTTCAACAGAACAAGCTGTCCTACAGATGTAGCTGGTAGAGCAAGTGTCAAACAAGGTCAGCGAGCCAAATCTGGCCCACCAGGCCCTTTCATGTGGACCTCGCACTTCTAGTGCAGCTGCGGCACTCCCCTCATCTCTGACCCCTCCATGTTTCAGCAGCCAACAGCAGAGAGGACAGAACGCCTCCTACTTAGCTTGCACCTCACTGTGCAGCTGCAGCACCCCCTCATCTCCATGTCCCTGGTCTCAGCATTCAGCAGACTTCAGCAGCTGACTCCAGCCTTTGTCTGGTTCTCTTCCAAACCCTATGCTTTCTGCTTCCCAGCTAAACCCCCAGCTTCTGACAGCAGCACAAGGTAAGGGGGTGCACTGTGATGTAGGGAAGAGCAGACTCTTGACAGCTGATGTAAGGGGGGTGGGGCGCTCTGGACATCTAGTCTTACAGTTACAACCAGCTGTATCTAGGGCCTGATGTGACCCGCAATGAAATGAGTTTGACATCTCTGACTTAGAGGGATGAGACAAAACAATTACCACGGACAGGGGTGCTTACAATGATCAGCTTTTATATATGTAAAACCTATATCCAAAATGGAAAAAAAAAAAAGCAAAGTTACACTTATGGTAACGCTTTTTCCAGAGGTTTTTCAGGACAGCACCTTGGAGAGACCTCGGCTCCTCCCCACCTGAGGATACACCTCCACCCAGAATAAAAGTACAGCCACTTACCTGTCCCTCGGTGTGTGCCCCGCAGCCCGTTTCACCGGCCGTCCTGGATTCCAGGAGGCCGGCATCTTCAGTGTGGGCACCCGGCTGTGACAGCTTGCAGCTTCACAGCCGGGCACCCACTGCCCATGCGCGACTAGCGCTGAGCTTCATGAATGGTCCAGTAGTCTTCTGGGACCTGTCATATTTCCCAAAAGACTACAGGGCGGGAGGACACCTTCCACTTTCAATCGCCTAGGCGATTGGACCGGAAATGGGAGCAGGTACCTGTCAAATTCGGGTACCCGCTCCCCCCCCAAAAAGGTGCCAATCCTTAATGGGGAGCGGAGGGAGCAGTCCTTAAAGTGGAACTTCCCCTTTTGAGTGGAGCTCTGCTTTAAGGAATCTAGCCACCAGCTCCTCTCCGGCTAAGGGAGTTTCCAGGAAACTGCTAAGAGCTGACACTTGGCCTTTCAGCGTACTCACTGATAAACCCTTGTCGGCTCTCACCTGCAAAAATTCTAGGACTGAAACTATATTTTTCCAGGGAAGTCTGTGCATACCATCTGTTAAAAAGCTTCCAGACCTTAAAAAGGTAGATAGAACAGGTCTCCTTTTTATAACTATCTAGGAGAGTGGATTCTACCCTAGCTGAAAACCCTTTGCTCCTCAACAGTTGTTCCTCAGAAACCAGGCTGCTAGGTTCCATCTGTCTACCTGGGGACACAGGACCGGGCCCTGAGACAGCAAGTCCTCCCGGCATGGCAATATCCAAGGAAGGTAGGCAGCCAGGGCCTCCAGGGTCGAAAACCAAGCTCGTCTGGGCCAGTGCAGGGCTATCAGGATTAGAGATGTTTGCTCAGATCTGAATTTCCTCAGAACTGCTGGCAAGAAGGAGACTCGGGGGAAGGCACAGGGGAAAGTCCCACAGCTGTACTAGTGCATCCACTGCCAATGCCCTGTCCCAACGGTTTAGAGAGAAGAAAACCGGAACTTTGGAATTTTGGCCTGATGCAAAAATGTCTACAGATTGAGACCCCCACTCCCTTATGATGGCTTGACAGATGTCTCCATCAGGTGGGCAGCTGATAAGGAGGCTACGTTGGTCTTGGCCCAGCTGAGCAGCTCCGAGGCCAAGGACCACGGGGTCTTGTTTCGCATCTCTCCCTGTCTGCTACGACAGAGGAGTTGACAGAGAGGATCCGCACGAGCTGCCCTCGTAACTGCTCCCGGAAGGCCACAAGGGTCCGCAATACCGCTTTGAGTTCTTTCCAGTTCGAGGATCTGCTCCTCTCTTCTGGTAGCCAAGAACCCTTCGCCACGGACCCCTCTAGGTGCGCTCCCTAACCCCTGGCGCTCAGGTCCGTTGCAACTTCCCTGGAAATGAGAAAGGCCCCTGGGCCAAATTGGCTGACCTTCTCCACCACCAGAGGGTCCTCTTCACCCGGGGGGGGGGTACCTGTATCAAGGAGTCCAAAGACTCCTGCCGGCGATCCCAGATGTCCAGAATGAACAGCTGTAGGGGCCGCAGATCCAAACCTTCCCACTGCGCCGCCGGAATGGATGAGGTTAGCAGGCCCAACACTGACATGGATTCTCTTAGGGACACGGACTGGTTCCCTAGCAGCTGCCTGATTCCCCTGTCCAACTTTAGGATTTTCTCCTGGGGTAGAAAGGTTTTCTGTTGGTGGAATCCAACTCGTAGCCCAGGTACACCATCCTTTAGGCCGGGACCAGATTTGACTTGGATAAGTTTATTAGCCAGCCTAAATTCTCCATGTGTCTCATCACCAGGGTTATGCCCCGTGACAGCTGTTCCTCTGAGTCTGCAAACAATAGCAGATCGTCCAGGTTCGCCACCAGCAAGACTCCCTTTCGACGAAGAGACACCAGGGCCTCGGCCATGATCTTTGTGAAAATCCTGGGTGAAGAGGAAAGCCCAAAGGGCAAGGCTCAGAACTGCAGGTGAAGTATTTCCCTGGGGCTCCGTACTGCCAACCTGAGGAGGCCTCTGCAATTGGAATGTGTAGGTAAGTGTCCCTTAGGTCTATGGAGGGCAGAAAGCAGTTGGGGGGGGGGGGGGGGGGGAAGAGACCTGACCGAGCAAATCGAATCCATACGGAATCGCTTGCATTTGATGGTCTCGTTCAAGGGCCTGAGGTTCAAAATGAGCCTGTAGTTCCCTGAGGAATTTCTGATCACAAAGACGTGGGAATAGAAACCCCTGCCGAACTCTGCGGAGGTGACCCTGATAACGACCCTCTGCTCTTCCAACTCCTGCAAAGAAGAGAGTAGGGCCGCAGCCTTCTCTGAACATCTTGGGAGCTCCATCATTAACAACCTCTGTGGCGGCAGTTTCCAAAATTCCAGGCGGTACCCTCTTCTCAGCATACCCAGAATAAAGGGACTGGAGGACACCGCTTCCCACTGTGGGAGGAAGACCCCCAATCTTCCTCCCACTGAGGGAACACAGTCATTGCGACTTTTGGGGTTGCTCAGGACGACAGAAAATTTCTCCTCCCTTGCCGTTTCCTTTTGTACTTCTGTACTTTTGGTCTAATGGCTTGCACCCGCTTCTGCATGTGAGATTCCACGGCTGGCTTTCTGCAAAAGGGAGGGCAACTGAAATGGACTGCACCCAGTCCAAAGGGCCCCCCCTCTTCTTCCAGGCACAGCGCGATCCTGACCACCCCTGGAAGGGCTTCAGAGATCGTGTGTCCCCACCAGAGGAAACACAGTTACTGAGGTTGGAGTGGAGAGGCTGTACTTTTATTATGGGTGGAGATGTTTCCTCAGGTACAGAGGAGCCGAGGTCTCTCAAGGTGCTGTCCTGAAAGACGGGGAAGGGAAAAAAAAAACTGGAGTTCTGCTTGCTAATCTAACACTCCCCTCCCTCAAGATTAACAATGCAGCTGTCCAAAGGTGCCCCCTGTGGTCCTTCATCCAGTGTGGAGGCACTCTAGCACAGGAAGCATGTTACTGTCCAGATTAACAGGTAAAAAAAAAAAAGTCTAAAAAAGGAAATTAAATGCAGCCACCACATCGATCTTTGAAGCTCAGTAAGCTGACATGATTATTTTTATACAGTATTTAAAAGCGCCAACGGTTCGCTCTGCACTGTACATTACAAAGGGAGACAGAACATGCAACAGTACAATAACAATACAATGCGATACACGAGGGGTTCGAGGGCCCTGCTCCTTCGAGCTTACAATCTAGGAGGGGGGGGATAGTGGTACAGGAGGAGATAGCTGGACTATAGGGGATCGAGGAGGTTGTTGTCATTGAGGTGAGAGCTTAGGCGAGTGTAGACTAAGCGTTCGAGGATTTTGGATGTGAATGGGAGCAGGGAGATGGGTCGAGGTTGTTCGGGTCATTGGGGTCCAGGGAGGGCTTTTTAAGTATGATCCATAAGGCATTTAGGCCCTTTTAGGGTCGCAGCAAAGGAGGTGAGGGGCCAATCTAGCGGAGTGTGCTGTTATCACCAGGATCTAGCAACACACGAGATTCACCTGCATGTGTATTTATGACGTGGACACTGGTGGTACTTTTTTTTTATATATCAAGTTTTTTTTTTGAGTGATGTGTTCACTTATTGCATTTTTTTATGATTTAGTTGTCATTTATATTGATGAATAGAGTGTGTTGACACTGAGCACTATCATTATTAGATACATCCCCTGATATAGGGGCTTATTAATGGTTATCTTCACTTGTAGCACCATTGTGTTGTTGCACTTTTTTTCTTCTATATGATTCACGTTTGTTCGCTAATATGTCATTATGTGTATATATAGAGATTTAGTTTATTTATGAGCGCTGCACTTATTTTTTTATTAAGTTTGGTTTATCACTTTAGGTAATAAGGTGCAGGTGTAGCAGCTTATCTTTAGCTTATTAGGATTGTGCGCAGGAGGTTTCCCCATCTTTTTAAGTATGGGGGTGATGTGCGCGTGCTTCAGAGGGGAGGGGGAATGCACCGGGAGAGATTAAAAGATGTGGGTGAGGGAGCGTAGGATGGAGGGGGAGGGAGGGAGGTCGTAGGAGTTGTGAGGGGATAGGGTCGAGGGGGGCAGGTGGTGAGGCGAGCGTCAGAGAAGACCTTGGAGACCTCCTCGGTAGTATTGTTGAAGGTGTGGAGTGTTGAGGGGGTTTCAGTGTGAGGAATGTTGGGTGGGGTGGCAGTCAGAGCAGTGGCGGGGCCGAGGGAGAGGGGTGATGAGGAGGTAGCTGTGTGAGAGGGGACAGGGTTGGAGAGAGTTTGAGCAGCGACGATGTCTCTGCGGATTGTGTCGAGGGAGAGGGGTGATGAGGGGCTAGTTGTGTGAGAGGGGACGGGTTTGGAGGGAGTTTGAGTAGCAGCGACGTCCTTGTGAATTGTGTCAATCTTGTTTTTGAAGTGATAGGCAATCTAAAGGGCAGTGAGTGAGGTGCTGGGTGGAGGTGGGGGCGGAGAGAGTAGAGGGTTAAAGGTGGAGAAGAGTCGGCGAGGATTGGAGGAGAGGGTCTTGATGAGGGTCAGGAAGTAGGCTTGTTTGGCGGTGTGGAGGAGGAGGTGTAAGTGTAGAAGGCAGATTTATAGCGGGTGAAGGCTTGTAGGGATCTGGTTTCGCGCCATAGTCGCTCCAGGGCACGACTGTGTCGTTTGAGGGTTTTGGTGTGATCAGTCTGCCAGGGCTAGAGCGGTCGGGGTCTGATGTTTCGTGTGGTTAACGGCGCTAGTGAGTCAAGGACTGTTGACAGCGCGTAGTTATAGGCAGTCATAGCCGGGTCGGGGCAGGACAGGAGGAGGATGCTGTCATGGAGTCGGTCAGCTGCAGAGTGGAGGGGGGCAGGGTTCAGGTTGCTGAGATTACGGCTGGTAGTAGTATGACATTTGGGGGGGGTAGGCGTTAGAGGACGAGGAGATAGAGAAGGTAATAAGGTTGTGGTCAGAGAGAGGGAAGGGGGTGTTTGTGAGGTTGAGGGGAGCGCAGCGATTAGAGAAGACAAGGTCCAGGATATTTCCGTCAGAGTGGCACTGTGCAAGTGCAAAGGAGGAGGTTAAATGGAGGAGTTGGGATGTGGCCAGGTTGTCAATGTTGACAGGGATGTTGAAATCCCCAAGGACGATGGTGGGTAGCTCGGAGGAGAGAAAGAAGGGTAACCAGGAGGAAAAGTCATCAAGGAAGCGGGATACGGGTCCAGGAGGCTGGTAGATTACGGCAATCTTCAGGGGGGTTGGGGAGAATAGTCGGATACAGTGGGCCTCGAAGGAGGAGAAGGATAGAGAGGAGGGGTTTGGGAGGACTTGGAAGGTGCTCTGTGGTGACAGGAGCAGACCAACCCCACCACCTTTACAACCGTTGGGTCTGGGTGAGTAAGTCCAGGTGAGACTTCCATAGGAGAGTGCAGCAGGGGAGGTAGAGTCAGTGGCCTGGATCCAGATTTCCGTGATCGCTAGGAGGTTGAGGGAGCGGGAAACAAAGAGGTCGTATTACTAGCAGTGTACGTAGTGAATGACGAAAGTGAGGCTTCCCACTTGTTAGCTAGGTGTCTCATCACACAGCGGAAGCAAAAGAATGTTCAATCACTTCCGCTTTCAACATGAAACGTCATCACTTTCACACCTGCAAGGCATGTAGTGTTTCCATTTTCTGTCTATCCCCTGTAGGTGGTAATAAAGTCTACTGAAAAAAAATGCATTTTCCAATGTTGATGCTTGTGCTATAAAATGCATCTGGAAGAAACAAGTCAAGGTCACCTGTGTCAAACAACTTACCTGGCATGGCATGATATATACTAGGCCAGAACTGACCACTGTCTCTCTTCATCCAAACACGCACTGTCCTGAAAAAAGAACATTGGTGAGATCCAAGAATCATTACAGCTACACAGAGATGTGCCACAGAGCAGAGCAGTTTGTAATTACAACAGTTCTGTCACTTGAGTCTGGTCAGCCATTTTGTGCACTGGAGCGAGGTGGCATTCTACTAATCCACTACGGCAGGGGTAGGCAACCTCAGCACTCCGGCTGTACTGAAACTACAAATCCCATCTTTCCTCTGCCTCTGGGAGGCATGCCTGTGGCTGGCAGAGTCCTACAAAGCCTTGTGAGACATCTGCTGGAGTGCCATGGTTGCCAATCCATGCACTTGGAAATAGGAACCTTGGGGGATGGGACACAAAGTCTTAAGTGAGTGGCACATGGAAAACATTGTTTCAGTGTTGCTCTGAAGAACGGTACAAAGAAAAGAAAACATTCTAGGCTGGAAATAATGGATCTTTTCTGCTTTCCTTCCGAAATAAACATTTTCCAATTTCTGTACTCCTCCTACTCCTGACCCCTACACTGCATAAACCCCTACTCTATGCTGCATACTCCTGCCCCCTGCGCTGCAGACCACCCTCCCCATACAAGCACTATATGCCGCATACTCCTGACCCCTGCACTGCATACTGTTGTCACCCCCCCACATTCCTCTGGGAGAGCTGAGGGGGGGGGGGGGGGGGGGGGAACCTGCAAGGTAGGCTGCACAGGTCCCCATGATTTCTAATGGCAACCCTGGAGGGAGTACTTGTAGTCCAATGATACTTCCTCCAGCCCCATATCTAAAGTATTTGGAGAAATAATCTGCAGGAGCCAAGGAATTGAACCTGTAATCCACTGATTGTAGCAGCAATGCTTTCCAGGCTTAAATGCAAAAATAAATACATTAAATAAAATAAATCATTTTTTTTTTAATTTGGTCAATCTATATAGGTGCATTTATTTATTTTTGCAAAAGATGGACTTGTCTGATCACCTACTATAGAGTCCACAATCAGATCCCTCTGTCTGTTCTCTCTCACCTGCCAGTCCTTAACAGGTGCTCCACTGCATTCTTTTTTTTCTCCTCCACTCTTCAGTACTCAGTTCTCTCTTTGCCTTCACTCTGCCTTGTCCTTGGAGCCATGCAGCCTAAATAAACCTAAAAAACAGGTCCACTTGTGCTAGTTCATATAAAGCTGACAAATCCCACAGCCTTTTACACAGTACTCAGTCTCTGCCACCAAAGAAGCTTATAAACTTTAATCTATACCAGGGAGACACTCCTGGATTGAAGCTGGTTAACTGATTAAACAGAAGAATATAATTAAAGTGGAACTTTACCCATAAAAAACTTGATAAAAAATAATGTTCAAGGAACATACATTCCACATTAATAATTATGCTACCAAAATTAGTGTGTGCTGTAACTTGCCTCGAGTAGTGGTGCACCGAAATGAAAAAACTGGTGCCGAAACCGATGCCAAAAATTCAGAATGCATGTGGCCAAAAGCTGAACCGAAATGTCTGCGTATGTGGGAGAGGGAGGCTCCAAGTTTTTTTTTGTATTTTTATCTACAGATGAAACTCGAAAAATTAGAATATCGTGTAAAAGTTCATTCATTTCAGTAATGCAACTTAAAAGGTGAAACTAATATATGAGATAGACTCATTACATGCAAAGCAAGATAGTTCAAGCCATGATTTGTCATAATTGTGATGATTATGGCTTACAGCTCATGAAAACCCCAAATCCACAATCTCAGAAAATTAGAATATTGTGAAAAGGTGCAATATTCTAGGCTCAAAGTGTCCCCCACTCTAATCAGCTAATTAAGCCATAACACCTGCAAAGGGTTCCTGAGCCTTTAAATGGTCTCTCAGTCTGGTTCAGTAGGAATCACAATCATGGGAAAGACTGCTGACCTGACAGTTGTGCAGTAAACCATCATTGACACCCTCCATAAGGAGGGAAAGCCTCAAAAGGTAATTGCAAAAGGAGTTGGATGTTCCCAAAGTGCTGTATCAAAGCACATTGTCATAGAGAATTCATATTGCACTAACAGTGTGCAGCACTTTCCAAATTAAAGGGAGACACGGTACAGTTACAATACAAGAGGATTAGGAATGTCCTACTCATGACAATTTACAACAGGGGTGCTCAACCTGTGGAGCCCTTTGATGCAGCCCTCAACTTCAAACCAGGGAAGCACATGCCTGGGACTGGCAACCCATTGACCACAATCTAGGTTTGCCGATCCGCCTTCAGAGTGCATGGAGCCGGAAGCAGTGGAAGCAGGAGCTGCATAAGCTGATGCTTCCTCTGTAGCGCTGGCTCCTGTCCCAGATGAAGTGATACCAAACATATGAATAAAGAGTAGATGGTGCTGCGCTAATTCTAAGTATGTAATAGATATATTTGATACCAAACGAACTTCACCTAGGACATTAGCAGCCTGGAGAAGGAGAGAGCAGAAGCTGGAGGAGGAAAAGATCAGTGCATTAAACATCACATACACTGCACTTTTGCAATGGGCATCAATAGTACCTATAAAAGGGTTAACAACTATTAGGCTGCTTTCACACTGATCTGTGGGTGCAGTGCAGTGCACCTGTGGCTTTCCTGTGGGTTACCTGCACTGAGCCATAGACTTTTATTATATCCTGCAGGTTTGGTGCACTTTCTAAAAGCGCAACAAAACTCCTGAATGCAGGAGTTTTGGTGGGCTTTCAAAAAGTGCAGCACACCCGCAAGATATAATAAAATTCTATGGCAAAGCACAGCTAACCGGCAGGAAAGCTGCAAGTGCACTGCACTGCACCTACGGTACAGGTAAACCGCAGTGCATCAGTGTGAAAGCAGCCTTATAGGGGGCTCAAGACAGTAAGGGCTTGTTTACATTTGCAGTTTGAGAGGCAGGAAAACCTCATGGTTGAGATGTGTTTTTACCGCACACCCCCGATCACAGGTGTAGTGTCAGAAGTTGCAATAGTGACCCCCATCCCATGCTCTAGGGGGCCCGTGCAGCCTCCCTGTCACATTCAGTGCAGCATATACCAGCACCATAAAGAACAAATTGTGCCGCGCTGCACTGTTGCCAATAAATTATAAATACATGAATATGTGCAAATTTCATATAGTACAATTTTACATAAATCCACTGTGAATATCAAAAATGTCCATATGCAATTCTTCACAATTCTCATGTTATCTTTAAAATACAGAAAATCTGTGCTTCTTCGTTCACCTCCAGTGTCAAAATTCACTTAAAAACTGAACCATCGAGCATCGTGATGTCAGACCCTCCCCTACGCGTTACGCCACTGGGTCATTTGGCTTAATCAGGGGGAAATTATTCAATATCAGCTGGCTCTACACAGGGTATCATCACTGCTAACATTCAGGAGGCAATTTCTTGCACAAAGCACTTTTTGTACATTGATCAAGTGAGTGTACTACTTTATATTAATAAATGAGTGTTTAAGGATAAAGCACTATGATCTTGTTATTCTCTCTTAACATACCCACCATTGCGGGAGAGCCATTAGATGAACGAAAGGGATCCCATTCAGCAGGATACCATCCCATCCACATTTGGCCCAATTAAAGGGACACAGGCTGTATATGACCTCACTTAACAGTTTGGTCATATATTTGAGGTGAGAGCACAACCGATGGGGGTGCATGAGTTTTGCAGTGAATTATGACAATGGAGGTGAATTAGGAAACACAGATTTTCTATATTTTAAAAGATAACACGAGAATAGTGAAGAACTGTATATGGACATTTTTTTATAATCACAGTGGATTTACAGTCAGGTCCATAAATATTAGAACATTGACACAATTCTAATATTTTTGGCTCTATACACCACCACAATGGATTTGAAATGAAACGAACAAGATGTGCTTTAACTGCAGACTGTCAGCTTTAATTTGAGGGTATTTACATCCATGTAAAATTGCACTATATGAAATTTGCACATATTCATGTATTTATAATTTATTGGCAAACAGTGGAGCACGGCACAGTTTGGTATTTATGTAATTAGGCACATTTGCATGAGTATGTGTTAGGTGCAGGCGATCTACTAATTTAGATTTTGGTATGGCACTAAGCATATGTTATAGCAGCTCACAAGTCTTTGATATAATATACCGGAACCAATTCTCTCCATTTTCTTCTTGCAAAATGATGAAAGTTGGCTTCTCCTCCTCTCCCTTCCACCGGCATCTAGAGGCTGCAGCAGGAAAATGTTCATTATGCCATTCAATATAAAAAAATTGGAAATTGTGAACGGTTTAATTTCATTGTGGCCCACAACCAGTTACCAAATCACTTAAGAGACCCTCGTTCTTCAAAAGGTTAAGAACCCCTGGTATACAATATAAAAGATCCTAGATCTTCTAAACCAGACAACTAGAAAGGAGTCAGCAGGAGGCTTGCTGTATTTGTGCTAGCCCACATTGCTAAATGTCTTGACATGGTAAGAAATAGGATGGCCATACAAAGAACCTGATTTTATTCAGATATTCAACATATGCAGGACCATTAGTTGTATGGAGAGCCCATGGACATAAAAAGGAGTTAATAGTAAAGAAAATATATGCGAGCGCACCCACAAATAAAGTATAGCAGCTGTACACCAGGTAACCATAAAAACCTCTTAAAACAATATAAATCAGAAGATGCAGCGCTGGAAAAGAGATACTATAAAAATAATTATAAAAAAAGAAACAGTTCATATTGTGATATCAAAGTGACTTCAGGTGCTCTCATCTACTCATATCCTCCTGGTGGTAAGGTGCTGTGCGATAAAGTGCAGAAGAAATGCACACTCACCAGAACGCACAGTTTAATGAGCGTTTATCAATATATATTTCTCCTGTGGTCATCTGCTGGTAAAGGTGAAGTCTGGAATCCAATAGCCTCCCTCCAGTGCTCCTGGATATAATTACTAGGACATCCAAGTGATCCCTCTGGTGGTGGCCTGTGGATTGCTCTTTAATGGTTATGAACGCTCCTTCCCCAGTAGTCAGATG